GGGACTGCCTCAACAACTTCCGTCGAGTGACACTCAACAGACTGATTCATCCAATCACTTATGGACAATACTGCATGCTCAGAGACTTCAACTGTAGTGTGACAGCTCGGCAGGAGAGGAACAGCATTCTCTGATACTTCGGTTGGTCTAACGGATTCCTTAGAATCTATAACTGTAGCTAATGAGCATTAACAAGTGTGGACAGATGAAACTGATCCCTATCGTCTAACCAACGGTCCACATGAGCACATTTTATATTCTTCAGTGCATAAATGGTAGTAATTTCCTTTCAGAAACGCTCATAAACTGCACTTCTTGACAAACCCTTGGTAATAGGCATATTACGCTTCATGATAATCAGGCAGTAAGCACTGACCGTACATAAAAGACAATATGGACATTTTGTAGCACTATAATTTATTATCTATTCGAAATAAAATGTATGCCTTCAGGTGATTACGGAACAATGCGTATAAAACAGGAACCAGATTACCTCGATGGAATGAACAAAGCAGATCAAAAATGAAACAATGGCGAGCAATAATACTCAATAATATAATTCTTTTTCGAACTTTTCGTACGAAAACTAAGATCAGTGCCATGCGGTGAATTTCGGTTACAATTAATATAATTTGTTAGACTTATTGCAAGGAACAGATACTTATTATCATATTTGAGTAAAAAACGTCTTTTTCAATTTTGAATGCGCTACATTTGTGAAATAATATTAACTCCAATTACGTTGAACTGAGGTTGATTATCTTAAAATGGATTACGAAAACAATTTAAACGATTTTTTCATAAACACTTTTTTATTATTAGTTCACTTTATGCGAATTTCGTGACCATCCACTTGGGGGATGCTCAGGTGACGGTCGACCATCCACTTGTGCTGCCTGCGTTAATAATCTTATCGTAACATATTAATATAATACATAATCATAGTTATTGCTACACTTGTTATATAACAGCTTACGACAGCATAACTAGTTATTGGTGAGCTCATATCCTATACAACATGAGCGTGACCGTTTAGTCACCAGATAGTCACCTAATAGTTACCGAAAGTCATCTGAGCGTACCCTTTTGAACAGCCTCAGTGACCGTCGGGATTAGTGAAAAATTCGGTGGCCATTTTTCATCTATCAACTTAGTGAACAATTTACGCATTGATAGCCAGAAAAGTAACTGATAATATTGAGCTCCGGTTTATCATTCTTTTCTTAAGGTATTTTACTGTCTATTCAACCGCTATCCAACGGTTTATTCTTTTAATTATATTTATGCTTACGAGGAATCATTCTGAAATGCTTGCTGTGCCCTTACTACAACGTTCAGCGGCAAAGCATTACCATACTTTATACACCTGACATTGTCATATATGACGCTGATCCTAAAACCCATACCAGTTGACACCTATTACTCCTTTTTCCCGCAGTATAAACGACTCCTAATAAATGCACGAAATTTCTCAAGCGCAGTTTATCTTTTCGAAAAAAAATCGAAAAATTGATAAAATGATTATTGTGAATGTTATAAATTTAATAACAGCGATGTTGGTAGAGAATTAACATTGACACTAACATAACAACGCATGGCCCATCGATTTTTCGACACACTCTTAACGTCATTTGGTCCTGATTTATTGAAAATGATAAAATGATTTGTAACACAAAAGGCATATAAAAATATATAGCACTTTTTAATCACACCAGATCCATGGATGGAACGGATCTCACTGAAAAATTTCGGCGTCGTGCTCATGAAGATTGAGGAGATTAGCTTGTATTAGCCACGATGAATGAAAACCAAAACACAATGGCGTTGGTGATGACGTTTCGACCCTCTTGAAAGGCCTTTTTCAAGTCGTTTAATCGGTTAATCTCATGTTACAAGCATTTTTGCATTTTAACATTTTTGTTTTCCTTCCTTTGAACATTGCCATCTGCAAAAAAGGAGAACAAAAGCTGCATCATTTCCGCTTAGATTAATGTATAATTTCATATAATTAACAGTGTGGTATGTTCCAATAAGATTTATAATGCAAACGTTATCAGGGATGTTCATTTCAATATATACATCCATATATCTATAATAAGTTCAGTAATATAACAATAGGAGAAATAAATGAGCGTATGTGAAACATTTCAATGATACTTACCATAAAAATTGGACTTCTACGTCCTTAATCTGGCAGTTTTCGTTGGTCGTTGAAGTAGACTATCTTGTCCTCTGAATCCATCTCTGAATTTTCTTACTAACGATGGTAAGGTCGGTGATGCTGAGACCTTTTTTCTTCATAGCTTCTAATGTTTTTTTAGTAATGTTGAGAGATTCACCATAATTGTAATACTCAGGGCTGTTTTACCGTGAGCACCTCTCCACTTCATTCGAAAACAGAAGTTGTCTGAAAACGTCGACGCATGCACCGAACGCATTAGTCGACACGGTCACCCCCATTTTGAACCAGTAATGCATGTGAAATAATGGAAATGAGAAAGTACAAACCATATCCGTGTAGCACGTATCATCTTACAAATTCTGCAGCAAATCGTTGAAATCGCAGAGCTGTTTTGCAGGTATCCTGCAGGTACTTACTGCGATGTCATCTCGATCTTAAAGCAAATCGACCGTTTTGGGATTGAAATGCAAAGTCTTCTTTACATTCTCTGCCATAGGGACTTNGTTCAAAGACGGTAACGGCTTCAGTAATTAGTCGTCCATAGTTATAAAGATTAACTCAAAAGATTTTCACCAGTTATCTGTTTGATGACCGATGGGTGGTGGTTCACCAATACTGTGTTGTCATGGCAGCTATTTGTGTAGAGAATCCCATAAATAACAGTTTTGGTAACACCATGTGGCAAACATATAATCCACTGGCTTTGTGTATCATCGAATAATGGGATAATACAAAGTGGCTTCTTCAGCTTGCTTAGTCATTTTACGGAATACCTGTACAGCTAGTGCTATTTGAATGGTTATATTGTTTGCACAAACGATTCATAGGGAAACGCGGAAAACCAATCCAGTGGTCTGAATTTACCAGAATTTTTAGATAAGCGAATCCCATAATGAACGTTGAAAATGACCTCCTGTTTGCCGTTAAGATGTGCGTGCTTTTCTACCACTTTCCTTGCATTTTTCTCCACGAAGTCAAGATAGTATGCACACCACTTCTCGTAACTCATCAAATATTTGAACACCGAAAAGTACAAGAAATTTTGAAATATGTCATCCCGTAGAATACCTCGCAGTAACACTCGACCAATACACAGTAAACACTGCCGAAACTCGATGAGGTTCCACACTTGATAATCAGATAATGGTCTGCAAACAAGTTGAAATTAACAAAATATTTGGTTTTCAACGGTCAGAATGCGTTCATCGGCAATCCGAAGCAACGGCCCAGAAATCGGATTACGCGTGTTGAGAACACCACGTCTCCTTGAAGAGATTGTGTGTTTCATTAACCTCAGACACACTGAATGCATGTAGTCAATGGGAAACTGTTTTATCATATCGATATTCAACGTTCCGATTGGCGAACCACTCACGTGGTGACTCACGGCACAGCGATGGCGTTTATCCAAATAACGTGCGCTTCAAAATCCGATTGGCTTGTCTATGCACTAAAATAAATTCCGCCATATGAAATCGTAAAGTAGGATTTGTCAAAGAGGATGGTTTATATATTTTGAAACCAACAGTGAACATTCCGCAAGAAATGAAAGACAATAATAATAATAATAATAATAATAATAATAATAATAATAAATATTCGTAATTGGATAATTGAGTAGAAAAGACTTCGGAAATCCAACACAACTTTCGGGACTAAATTCCTGTTATTGAGTGAAATGCAATGGATTCAAGTGTTTGACCAGAATGATTTCAGGCACGTTGTTGAATAAAACATTGTATCAGAGTGATTCATAAGATTTTGAGCTAGTGTCCCTGAGGTGACACGCGCGTATAATACCTCATTCCTGTCCCATTGTGCCCCGCACATTTCTTCCTATTATACTTTAAAAAAATAGAAGCTCTAACATTTCCATGGTAACAACGAAACAGTTTTAGTTTTTACAACCATGAACCATGTACTTTCGTACGCCGGCTTTGGTTGCTGTCTTTTGGCTGCCCATTTGGATAAAAGAGCAGAATGAAGATTGGAATGTTGGGAGAATATTCAGTCGAGAGATGGAGAATTCATAAAGACTGAGGTTGCAGGAATAATGAATAGATGCATGAGCTCCACTGTTTGCGACACCGAGCGATATCGCACTCCGCTTTGCCCAGACATATACCTGAATTCTTGGATAGCTTAAGGGAGAAAGAAGTAGTTTTGCAAAGGTTAGATAACATATGGCTCGGTCAGATGCTCCATTAAGGTCTCCTTTGCTGACCGATTGCATATCTTTCGTATGTAAAAAGGGAATTTGTGTAGTTTGTCACACTTCATCATCAGCACAAAGCAGATACAAATTAACTGGCTATACGGTGATACCATTGACTTAAACCAGAAATGGTTAATGGTTAATGGAAAGTTAATAATACAGTCGTATACGATGTCACTATTTAGTAATCGTCAACCCTAGATAATTTAATTTCTTGTGATTTGTTAAATATTAACCTAAATGCTTTTATGACAGTTATATTCGTCTTGAAAGCGAACAGCTGTTAATAATGTTAATAATTAATTAATAATGTTAATAATTCTCCATGCCCTAACTAATTCATTTCTTATAACATATAGGTTTCATTTTGATACGGAAACAGACTCAGTCTGAATAGGGTAAAACTTTACCGGCATAAGCAAGACAATTAAAATATCCTAGTGTGTCAAACGTTTATTTGCACTGTCTACACACGATTATTTTTGCTAATAAAATAATACGATCATGGCAGGAGTTAAACTCCGTTTTTATTTGCAGACTGGTACAAATCCATATGAATCCACGCTGGATTTTATTAATACTTGCATACGTCCAGCACTGTTCATGCGGTAAGACATGTTTATACGGATGTGTCCATCAATCATCATCAAGTCACCTTTCCCCCATCTTTTACGCAACTGCCTCCAAGGAATACGGTGTTCATCCCTGGCGAAGCGATCAAATTACCTTGTGTGGCTATTGGTGCTCCGGCTCCAAGGTAGAACGAGAGCATTTCCTAGTATTATTATTTATGAAACTTCAGATATGTATGGTATAAAAACGGAAAAGAATTCAATTGGGCAGCAAATACTGGAAGGTACACAAAGTGGCCAGATGAAGGAACACTTATTATGGCTCGCCCTGGCACAGACGATGATGGAATGTACCAGTGCCTTGCCGTAAACCAGTTTGGTGTCGCACAATCCAATATGATCAATGTGAAAAGAGCTGGTAAGAATGAACTTAAATTGATGAAATGTAACGCTGTTGGGGAGAAAATAATAAACACAATTTTATAATTAGTTTCTCTGTGTGATTGATCAAAGAACCAAAGCAGTATATTGTATGCTTCCCAACTGAAAAATGATTTTTCTTATGAAAATAAATCTCTTTAGAATTTTTTGAATTATAGATTTAGAAGCATTACTAGTTAAAGGCATTCAAAAACTTTAAACGTCAGACGAGATTTATCGATTTACTTTATTTATTCAAATAAAGTATAAAACATATAAAGTAAAAGGATTATAGATATACGTAGAGCTACGTAATAAAAAAATACAACTCCATTTGCAACTTATGAAAAAATCTTCTGTAATCATCAACGTCTTCCTTCCATTATGTAGAGCTTGGCGATTTTGAGGCCTCCAAAACGAAGGTTATTCGAGCGCAGCACGGTCAAAGTTTGGTTTTGAAGTGTAATGTACCGCTGGGTTTTCCACCTCCAGTGGTGACTTGGCAGACCGAGAAAAATGCACAAATTCAATACATCAAGGAAAACAATCGAAGGGCAACTGATATCAATGGTGAGAAATACGCTGACTTTGATGAAATTTTATGTGATGATTTTCATACTCATGTGATTCAACGGTGATTGATCATACTGCGTAGAATTATTTCAAATTTCCGGTTAAGTTCACAACAAACCAACACGTGAACAATGACGGTGAGATTACTCATCTAAATAAATCACTGATGGTGGTATTCATATTTACCTCTCAGTTACTTGTGAGTGTTCATGTGGAAAAGGGATGGTGATTTTGACCAATCATCCTTCAGACATCCACCTATAAAAATACCTTTTAGGTCATCTTGTCAACCATACATCCTGGAAGCACTAGACCCCAGGTATGCTTTCGCTGGAGCTCATTGGTGGCCCATAATCACCGTCCCATCGCATGGAATATGTGCGTGTCACCACTGTGCCTACCAGCTAACACCAGAGCTGACTAAAATTATGGTGCTATTTTTGCTGCTTTTAAAATTCTCCATCATTCGTGCAACTGTAAATTTAAGTTTCAAAGTAATATTTAGCCCTTGAATGAATAAATACTATTCAGATATTACTAATACCAAATTATGTTATTCAAAATTCCTAATTCTAAAACTTTCAGGTTACTTGTATATTGCTGCGGTGATTGAGGATGATCATGATACAACATACACTTGCGTCGCCAATAATGAAGTGCTTCGATATCAGAAAAGTGGCCCTTCCTACAAAATACAAGTCTCCGGACAGCAGGTTAGATTCATTGACGGAATTTTTCACAAAAGATGAACTAAGATTCCCATTTTGTATACATTATGAATACTGACCACTTCAGATGAAAGAGTTCTATATTTTTTATTAGAATATTTCTTTTAAATTCCCATGGGAAAACGCATTGTGCATGCAGATGTTTTTACCGCTAGCAGCACTCAAGAATGTACAGTATTGAAGTAGTTTTGTGAACAAAACACAAAATATTGGTGGAAACATACACTGGTCCACAGCAGGAAAGAAGACAGTAAAAATATCGAAGAAGTTCAAAGTAGAAGCAATAGTAGTAGTAGTAGTAGCAGTAGTAGTAGTAAATTTGGAATAATCTATTCGATTGTTCACAGGCACCGGACACTGTTAGTGTTCTAGGGTACTGGTCAACAGTACATACGTTTTGTTTCCCTGTCAGGACTCTAATGGTTTAATTCAAATTCATTATTCCTGATTGCTTAATTCATTCACAAAAGATGACGACCGTCGATTGTGTAGCTCAGATGTAAGCGTTTGAAGTCCCAACCCGAAATGCTTGTGGTTTAATTCTTGAGAGGGGCACAAAACTATGCCTTGATGACGAGTCTCAAACAGGACGAAAAAGTTGTCTAATGCCCATTGTCGGTTATCAAAATATTTTCGAAGGTTTATTTGTCTATGAAAAGTAACTTTTGCCTGAACTCAGTTGTGTTCTAAATCTTCCGTTCGACTGAAGCGCATGTGCGATTTTGATTTCAGTCAGTTCAATCGTGTCCTTTGAGAAGCTTTTTTAGTTTTACACATCTAAATGCAATCGAAAATTGTCGTATTTCTTGTGACAAACTTTGAGAAGTTTCACTAACTTTTAGGAAGATATGCATGATGTCTTAAGATGTATCTAATTGTTGCATGTGTAACGAGTACTCATTGCATAATTGCGAAAGTGGGTAGATCAATATAGGACAAATCGTAGCAACACAATCGCTCTCTTATGGGAATCACCTGCTACGTACATCGAGAAAGCAAGGTTGGTGAAAGGATAAAAACCGCACATGAGTGGTAAGCTTCAAGCTGTGAAAAACAAAGCTCTAGCAGAGCTGTAAAAAAGAATTCAAAGGATATAAAAGGTGATTTCGTATAAATACATGGAAGAATGAGTGATTAAAGTTGTAGTAAAGGCGAATTGATGACCGCGGGTCGGTGTGGCAAGTGTAAACGAAAGGAAAGTGAGAGCACGTGGCACCTCGCTCCGCTGTCACAGGTTTACGTAGTACAGGCCAGGTTGAAATACGAGTCTACCGACCAGAGGCTCTCAACGAGCGTTTTCTTGAGCGGAATGATCTCCTCAGCAGTATGGAATGAAATCAAGTAGTGTACGTCATGATGATTTGCACAAAATACAGATCTGAACAGCATTTCAAATAATTTCCTCTAAATCTTTTCCTTCCCTGTAAACATCAAAGTGAATGGTGCTGAAAAAACCGGACAATGGATTTCGAAAAATGAGAAATTACGCAATATTTCCTCAAATGAGCTCGACAATAACTACTATTCCAAATGGCTTAGCCAGGCAACCTGCAGATTCATTATTAGAAGAGGACTGTTCTCGTTAGCTCTTCTAACTTAAAAACTAAACTTTCGTTAATGACTCCGATTATTAGAACGAACTACTCTTAGGATGATTTTACTTTGTTTGCAATTTTAACTTAAAAGCAATTAACTGTTCTGTAATATTGATAACGGTAACCAACTCCTGGAGCTCATTTTCACCTTTCACTTGAATTATGCTTGTCCAGTATAAGTATAACATAGAGACAAGTTATACCGTAAAATGACTAAATTACAGCATCCTTCATGATATTGATGGAAAAGAGTAGCTTGTATGTAGTTCATGGATTGCTGTTGTACATTCGTCATTTGGTTGTCCGTATCCGTTTCACGTGTGCCTAATGCGGCTTCACAATTCGTTCCCATAGACAAACTATGCACTGGTTGAGCTCTATCGAACACCGCGAACGGAAGTGACCGTTGTGGGTGAATCTCTCAGCCTCAAGTGTATTTACGGAGGCTTTCCGGAGCCACAGTACACCTGGTTTAAAGACGGCAAAGAACCAATAAATGTAAGTCGTACTGAGTCATTTTTCCCTTCTATGGTTGTATCAGACCACAAGAACACCGTTTACATTTAGAGGAGTTATTTCAAGATAAGATAACCTTTAAAATTCAACACGCTGGTTTGTGCGATAGTTTTCATGAATTAGATGTACCAAACTCTATAGTTTTATCGTGAGTAGCAAATGAATCACTGATTCCACTATCCGTGCCGCTTGTCTGTCACGCGCACTCGGTGCTCCATGCCCAGGGCGATCTTACGTGTTTTTGAAAATCCACTATCTACCGTATTAGATCCAATGAGTTTGATTGTAATTTTTTTATAATACAAATACCAATTAAACAAAACGGGAAGGAGCCAAAAAATGACTTCTTTTGGGCAACGTTTCGACCCTCTTAGAAGTTCCTTCACAAGTCGACCAACAAGCACACTGAATGCTAATGTTTGTTTGTTAATTTACTTGTAAAGAAGCCTTTGTCACCGAATAAGTTATTTTTCGGTTCTTTCCTGTCGTGGCTTGTTCCAACATTCCTTTACAGACCTAATACTCTGACCGATTTGGGAAAAAGATTCCGTGCTTTTGTAAATGCAGAAACTGTCGTTTTTCAATTTTATTTTTAAACGTCAAGAATCATTTTTCAAATGGCCTGAAATTGTAGTAAACTGACTTTTTTAATTGTGGTTATGCTCAAAAAAATGTTCAATTAAATCTTCAGAAAAAGCTAATTATAAAGAAACTAACACTGCTAATATTAGAATTTGTTTTGAGGCAAAACTTCAGCAAAAGTTATTAATTTCTCGAAAAACAATGATTTCAGCTGCCAAACGTTATTGTTCAAAATATGGGAACCATGTTGGAGATCAATCCGGTGACAGAGGACGCTGCAGGGGAATATCGATGCCAAGGATCAAACGAACAAACAAGAGTCACTTTGAACGCTCAGTACACCGTTCGTGTTCAAGGTTGGTCTAAAGTGGAAATTAGTGTCAAAAAATTCGAGCCAATTGGAATCATTTATCTAGAACAAACATACACTCGCTATTTACGGTAAACTTGCTATTTTTAGTTTTTTGGAAATGCCATCACTTGTAACCCGGGAATTACGTGTGAAAGTTCTAATTTTCCAGTATCAGCAACTAATTTGACTGTTTTTACAATATCCTCCGCACTGATTTTGATATATATATATATATATATATATATCTGCCTAACAGAACATACAGAGTCAGTGGAAAAGATCTCAAAAGACGTGAAAAACCCGAAGGTAGCGTAACCAATTCAGGGTTTGAAGATCAGTTTTCTTTTCAAAATGCACTTTTCCGAGTATAATTTCTGAGTTCCACAGGCAACATTGACGGACCTAAGTAGTCATAATACGATACTCTTTCATTTAAGGGATGTTGAAATCACGATTGAGACGTGTTTGGCATGTACTGCCAAAGTGGTTCTCTCCTGTTGTTGATAATAAAAGGAAATGATAAAAATTTGGCGCACGTTTTTCCCACTGGATTCTGAGGTATTCTAGAGGTTATTAGAGCAACCATGCGTAGTTGACACTATGAAGGACGTATCCGTTTTTGCCGAAGTGATTGTTCTGTTTGCTTCTGTGACATTGCTTCGTTTTTTCTTTGAAATCTATCCCGTTTAGGAGGAATCTTGATGAGTGATACACGCATGTAATGAGGAAATGTCCAGTTGAACTGGTGCATCTACAGATCCTTTGTGGCAAACTTATGCATCCAAATCTAACATCTCGAGCATATTTTCTCGCATCACCATTGTCCTGTGTTTAGAATTACAGTTCATATCATACAATGACAACACACTGTCAGCGTTATCAACTCAGCACCTATTTTCATCTAAAATTAGACCAAATTAAGCTCTCTTTCAGTGGCGACATCCAAATGGGCACTGCAATGCATCATTGACCAGAAGGTAACCGGCAGGACATTTCTTGCCCCGACAGATAGCAAGGAATTGATGAACCAAAGTTGAGATCTACTTTTCACCAAACAAACTTAGTTGTTCGATCTAGTACAAATCACGTGATGCATCCAGACGGCTTGTCCATTGTTTCAGTAGGCCCGACAGTGAACCCTGATGACCGAAACTGATCAATTCATGCAAACTTTAGCCGGCGTTTGTTTTGACTTTTCGGTATTTCCATTAGTGTGCAAACGATGCATCCCACATGCACCAAGTTTTGAGGCATTGAAATATTTAATTTCATCGGAAAAATCGTAAAGCCGAACAAATGAATCTGTTAGGTGAAAAGTTATCAACCATAAACGTGCAAAGGTTACACAAATGATTACCCGGTACCAATAGTGATAAAAAGGGAAGTTCTTTACGGAAACAGCACGATTGGAAACGCCTGGTTTGAACTTATTCTTCACCAACTTGATAAGCAACAGTCCGTGGGGTTTCTTATTGTGCACAGTATCGCGTCATTTCCGTGCAAGTTATCCAATGAATTCCATTTACGATCTCTTTCGACCTTGAGATTTGAGCACGTCTCATTTGGTTTCCCATCGCAAACCTCAACACCCACCTGTATTCATTTAGTGGAAGTGATTTATGCAACAGCTACAATCTCTTGAATTAGGGAGATGTATTTCTTAGTTCATGACTTGGATCTCAGCTTTTCTAGAGTAACCTAGTTTTTCCTACTCCTTGATACAATGTTACCCCTTTCTTGTATGGAAAAACTCATTTTATTTGTATTTGTAAAATTTTTGCAGGCCTAGTCTTCTTACATTTCAATTAAAAATTGAACACTGGTCGTCACGCCGGAGAAAATATAGAAGTATAGACAAATCCAATAGTGTGCTGTGTGAACAAAAATGTCACCTAATTTTGATTCATTCAGTTAAAGATTGACTTAATTCATTTATAATTCCTTCCTTGTTGGTCAAGATTCCAACCAGATAATGTACAATGGAGTTATTATAAATGTTTATTCGAGAGGGTAAATACCGATAAGAGGAACGAGTGATAGAGTAAGAACGACAAGAAGACAAGTCAAGATGCAAAAGATGGGAGGTGTCGTTTAAAATCTTATTGGCAAAGGTCACACAAGCCTTCACATGACCATTATTAAGTTATGTGACTGGGAAGAAATTAAAGATGCACGGCTTATTATCATCAATTCACAACGGATAGTTTTAAAGTCTTGTTTCAATAGACCAAAAAACATTAAAGGGAGCAGTAAAGTAAAATAGGGAGAACGCATTGTTTAATAAAGGAGAACAAAAGTTGTTGGGGAGTGCGAAAGTGTCTGATCTTTCGGAGCTGAAAGGAGAGGCGCCGAACTTTTCCCAAACAGTTCTAAATGTGTGCCGACCACCGAAGATTATTACTGATAGTAACACCCAGATATTTGGCTGAGCTCTTTCCAGACAAAAGGTTACTATCAAGGGTTACAGAGGCCGACAGGAATGTAGAGCGGGAAGAACTAAAAGTTTACTTCAAGCACTTGGATGTGTTAAGATTAAGGCCAGACTGGTTTGAAAGTGTCTGGTTCGGGACAGATTTTCAGTGAAGGAGGGCAAATTCGAAGAAGAAGAAACGGTCTGACATAAAATGACATCGTCAGCATACTTTTAGATATGAACAGGGTGTGGAATTGAAAGATCATTAATGAAAGCAGAGGAAATGTACGGAAAGAGGGCAGCACCTTGAAACACACCAGAATTACGGACTAGAGTAGTTGAGGTATTTCTGCCGAGCTTTTTGCACTGGATTCTTCCGGTGAAATAAACAGAAAGCCACGAGAGCAGCTGTCTCGGGGTTCCAAAAGATTTAAGCTTAGAAAGGAGAGATGACCGAGACACAGAATCAAAAGCAGACGAATAATGGGGAAAAACGCAACGAACACATTTGGCAGAGCTGTTCAACAACTTGCTTATAAAATGGACCAGATCCAAAGTGGATCTGTCGGGTTTATACGCGAACTGAAGAGGATCATGGGGGGTGGTGACAAATGATTGTAAGCGACTCAGGATGGCTTTCTCAGTCAACTTTAGAACCACAGACGGTAATGCAATGGGACGAAAACGTTTTGCAAGAACGGTTGAGGATGAGGTCTTTGGAACAGGTATTATGGTCACTGGTGGCCACGAATCGGGGATCACCTTTGATGAAAAAGACTCGCTGATGAGGGATGTCACCATGCTAATTAGAGGGGTTGCTCTCGGAATGATATTGGATAAGCTGAAAGTATAATTCCCATGAACAGCTTCAACTGACTGATTAAAGAAAATTACGTGAATCGAGTCATATTCTATCGACGAGACTTAAGTATCACATTTAGAAGCCTTATCCGAAAAAGCTTCTTGCGGAGTATGCTACGCTATTCTATTTAAAGATGTATCCCAAAACCGATCAGAAAATTTTTATATAATTGAGATTAACCAAACTGGGACGATGTCATGCGTACACTCCACGAAGTGAAGAAGGAGAAGTTTTTGTCCAGTGATAATAAGAGATCTTGGAGACTATTGCAAAAAAGGACCAAAGGAATCCTTCACTATAGAAAAAAGTTGAATGGAACCGTTTACGGAAATATGCTTTGTACTATCGGTGTCAGTCATTTGTCAAGCCTTTATCATTTGATCAACAATTGGACTTAAGGTATAATATATAGACATGCTATTCACACGCGTTAGCCTGCGTTGGGTTCGGAAGCGGATGGCGTGAAAATTCCTAACCAAAATGCTAATCAAAATTATTTTGAGCTTCGCGGACCAGATGAAAACCCGTAGGAATCGTCTCAGTCCTGGTAACATCAATTTGCTTTTTTCATGTCCATATCCTGGCTGCTCATTAGTAGCATAAGAATGTGACATGATAGAATGCCGTCAGTCAACATGATCGCACATTTTCCTTTTGTTGTGTCAACGTTAAGCAATAGTTTGTTTTACTGTCATTGTTTTTGTCTTAGTGGTGTCTTTGTTTTATTGTGACCCTATTAAAGTAGTAATATGTATCTCAACTGTAATTATATATTTCAAATTCAGTAGCTATGGCGATAGCTGTTGAGAGTGCTATTATTATGAAGTGACCAATAGATGATGGCAACAAACCATGAGTGAAAACACTGCATCGTACTGATAAAGTTGGCAGTTTTTAGAGGGCATCGGATTATCCATTATGCCAATAAGTGGTCCGGGAAGTAGTTGGCCTCCAATGGAAATTATTTTCCTCCCGTGACCCTCATATTTATCCCGCGCAATCGATTCACAAATTACTCTGCACGTTATGCAGGTATGTATGCAAATATGCAGGATAAGATGTTGGAATACGATAAAATGGATTCCAGAGGTAGAAGAGACACTGCCACTCGCTGGAAGCTAACTTGATGTTTTACAAAGTACGAACTCCCGGATATGTTTTGTTATGCAAATAAACAGTTAACTACTGATCGGTAAAACAGTGCTCCGTACCACAAAGTGCCATGCATTAATTGAACCTATGCATATTGTTTAGTGTAATTAATCGATTATCATTTTAAATCCCAAACCCCACAGTTCGACCCACATTTGTCGAAAAACCAGAAGATATCACTGTACCGGTGAATGGATCGGTGATTTTCCGATGCACAGCTACAGGTAATCCAGCTCCACAAATACGATGGACTGTGAACGGAGATGATCCATCTCACTATGTGGATGGCGTACGGAAATTCCTACACGGAACTGTAAGTCACTGCAGCAGTCGATTTTTTCACATACATCTTTTAAAATAACTCAAAGTTTATGTGATGTTCGTAATCAAATACCACACTATGGAATTTGCTTTGTCCTAGTTAATGCATCCTAACCGTAGTGTTTTTTATTTGGTTTTCAGTGAGTTCCAATAGCTAGATTACCTGAAAAAGAACACACGATGTCCGTCTCTTATGTTCAAACAATCGCATTTTACTTCTGAAATAACTGCCGCAATAAACTACTTGGCCTTTGCTAATATTATTCTTTGACGTGGAAAAACCTCTAACCGGTATGTCGACTACGGATACGCTTCAGGCTGAACTAACTGATCTGGTTCTTCTGTAACATTCCAACTCTGTCCTATAATTTCTAGTTTCTCTCTTGTAGCGCAATATATTGAATGCCCTGTGTGCGGTTAAAAAGCATTCTAGGCAATAAAATTCAAAATTTTATCCTACGTGAGACTGGGCTCACAAATGTGCCGAAAATTTCTTTATTTTGTTGTGTGCTAAGCAATTACTGTAATAAAATAGAACGATGATATGCTCAGACCAATGAATATCTTTTAATTACTTTCTATGAGTGTTCGATGTCCTCAGAACCCAAGTAAGACAATCAGGTTTTAGTTTGTTCTTTGTTATTGATTTCTAAATATGAGGAGATGGCAACCGCATTTTAAGAAAATCAATTCATCTGTATTTTTCCACCAGTTTTATGGATACCCTATGGTTTCTCTCAGATTATCCAGTTTATATCATCTTGTTACATTGACTTTGCTGTTCAAAACGTGTTAGCCCTAAATGGATGTCTAGATCGCTAGGCTTCACCCTAGGTCTAACTCAAATGTGTTCAGCTCTGGGAGCACTACAAAGTTTATTATGATAGTAAGTGTTATCATAAAGTGTTTGTTCATGCTTCACAACCGTCAACATCTAAAAGTGAGTGATATTATGATTCGTTAACTTTATCTACTTTGTTTTTTATTTGTTGCTTCTATTTATCTGTGAAGATATACACGAACAAGCATCGTCCGAATTATTGTGTTCAAAAGACTATGTAAGGCTCTCTCTAACTGGACAATAATTCGTCTAAGTCTTTCTGATCGCTCACAGCAAGCAATTCGACCTTCAATCTTTCCATACAGATGGCAAGGATCTCATTTCGATAAATGTTTGAATTGCTCAGCACCTACCTTTTAATTTCGTAATGTTACCGTTTTACGCTTTTTTCCTAATGCCACGGATCCAGGTCATGGAGCTGTACAATTTGACCATAAAAGATACGGCTGTGATACAGTGCAACGCGTCAAACGCCTTCGGCTATGCATTCACAAACGCCTATGTGAACGTGATGCGTGAACCGCCCTACTTCATTAAACCGCCACAAACGGAATTACGAGCAGTTGACGGGCATCCGGTAACTCTTTTCTGTCAGACATTTTCCGCTCCCAAGGCTCTAATATCCTGGTCAAAAGATGGAAGACCAATCAACGGAGGACGTTATCAGAGCATGTCAAACGGTGATTTATTCATTTCGGTTAGTTTGGACACATGAGTGGTTGGAAACATCGTAATAAGAGCCGGCCAGCACCGGAGAGCTGTGATATTAGAAAAAACCTCATTTACTATTTTCTAATATCAGTTAACAAGAAAAATAGATAAGTCCAATATTTTGTGGCATGTAAGCAATGCGTATTAGTTGACCTTGCAATTTTAGGATAGTATCATGCAAATAGTCATCAAATGCTCCTACATACCAAATACATACAAGTAAGTTTAAGTCTACATTAAAATATGAGTTAAAAGGGGCGAAGTTGCCAGAACGTGCAGGGAACACTGGAATTGGTGGAGGGCATTTTCATGGTGGTAATGGAAAGTCAAATGATAAATGAATAAATGTATTTTTACTTCCTTTTTTATTTAATAAACATACAAATGTACGGTCAACATTCAGGAAGGAGTCCGCTGCCATACAAGGGCTGCCTTCTGTTGCTGTAGGGTCAGTGTGAACTGACTGAAAACCAATAAGAACGACATCCGAACAAACTGAAAGTGATAGGAACTGATTGGCATAGAAGGTTGGAACGATAGATATGCAGGATCGATGAGCTGTAGTGAGATTGTACCTCAAGTAGAGCGTATTATTGACTGGATGAACTGAGGACTCGGAGTGAAAATGAAGTCTGAAGGATAAATAGTCCAAGTGAACGTATTCAATTTAGTAATTGTAAGTTTATTATCATTAGTATTATTCATACCTTTAGAAGTGGCAACAAAACGGTTTCGCTAATTCCTAATGCTCCTGAGTTTTATATACGATCTTGAAGGCTACTGCATTGACGGGAAATCGCATGCCACTGGTGTTTTTCGACGTTCATAATCTTACTACTCACTTGCAACAAGTAGTCAATCAAATTGCATCGTTTTTGTCCATTCACCAGGCGGTCGCAATAACTGATTCCGGTGTGTACGAATGCACTGCCACCAATCCTTTTGGGAGTAGAAAAGCCTGGGGAAAGCTGATGGTCAGAAGACAAACCACCATTGTTTTGGCACCCATTGACACTCAAGTGTATGAAGGTCAAGTTGTGAAATTTGTGTGTACCGCTGAAACGGACCCAATGGAACTGGAGAACTTGAAAATCACCTGGTACAAAGATGACAATTTGATCATGCCCGAGTTGACACCTCGTATTCAACGTGTTTGGTTTGATTACTCGCTAGTTTTGAGCGGAGCACAACCACGAGATACCGGTCAGTATCGATGTAATGCCAGCAATGGTTTGGATTTCGCCTACGCTACGGCTTCACTTCTCGTTCAAGGTTAGTTTATCTGGTCAGGAAACACCTAAATAAATTTGAGGCTGTTGTCATAAAAATAAAAGGTTATACTCGGAGGGAAGAAAACGTTTTTAGTTGACTCAATCAGGCTTAAATAAACCAAATAAGATCAAAATATCCATCGGCGGTGGTGGTGGTGGTGCTCAAACGGTTGAGTTCATCAACTTATCGACGCGGCGGACACGTGCTCGAGTTCCGTCACCGCTGCCCAACTTTCTCTGTTTTCAATGTATAGCAACCCTTTGATCGGTCCCTACCTACTTTCTGAAAATTGTTCTTATCACTACGTATATTGGATAAAAATGGAAGACCAAAATAAAAGAAGTGACGCATTATTTAACAGTTCATAGTCTGATCAGCTTTCCAAAGGGTAATTAATACTTCCAAAATTGATAAACTATTTCGACCTAGAAAATTCATCCAGGTTCTTAAAATTATCAAAAAAGCTGCTTTTTGCGGACTGTTTCGAATTAAAATTTCCAGATTTACTTTCAATTGTGTTTCGGTTCACGGGTCTCTGCCCCTACTGACGATGTCTGAATAAAGCAAGCGTGCTTATCAACCAATTTATGTGACGCTGTTCTTGTCTGTAAGGGAAAAATATCCCAGAACTGCATGGATGAGTGAATGCATGCATGGCGGGATGAATGCATGAATGCGTCCTCGGATCAAAAAGACAAGAGTGAAGGGATATTTATTCTGCACATACCGCTTAAATGACATGTGCTTTGGGTCAGATTGTGCTGCCGTTTGACTTAAAAAAACTAATTAATTAATTTAGTTCTTGGGATATGGGCATGGGTGAACCTTGCTAGTTCAGACGCCTGTGTAAATAGAACTGGAGCACACAGATAGAGGTTGTGCAGAGGAATTCTTACTGCTTTCACTCTGGTAGTCATGCAACAGCGAACCGGGCTTGATAGTCTACCGGGAACACTATACATGGAGCGGAATACCGCGATCATATTCAGAGCGACTTTTTCAGCTAGGTGTGAAAACTGCATTGTCGAGTGACCAAATTGTTTCCGTGTTCAGTCACGCAGGGTGAGGCGTTCACACCTTCGTTCTGACAAACGCTTGAACTTCTGATGTCCGTATGTTGCTCCTCAGGAACGCTCAGCTGAGTACATAAAAATGATATGAATTTTGTCATTCAGTTTTCAACACAAACTGCTTGGACGCGAACAAAAAATCGAGCTTTGCTGTATATCGGATATTCTCCGTTGTATTATCTCTGCTGATATGTCCCCTTTGAACGGTAAGGCAATGTATTGTGGCTTCGTTTGAACCCCGGTCCTCCCTATAGTATTCCCACAGTATTGAACCATCTTGCTAACTTGCTGTTTCGAATAACTATTGCGTGCGAAGATAATTCTTATGAACCAGAGCGTCTTTATTAAAAATTTTATTTGCCCTACATGCTGGCAGTGCACCAAACTCCGATGTCCATTCGAGCGATGCAAAGCTGCGAAACTGGATGCATTGGTCTTTCCAAGTCCGCGTCCGATATACTGCTCGTTGCAACGAGCTACCCAATCATGGACTCCAACAGATGTATTGAAATGCCATTTTGTTGTCCGTTCCCATTTCTAAAATAACTGTTATGTTCTGATGAGCAGCAGTGAAAATACTTGTTTGTTCCTGATGTCGGATCGATTGCACAACGAATATCACCCTTATATCGTGAGAATAGCATACAACACTGAATGGATTATTTGAGTTGATTACTTTCGTGTCTGTCTATAAAAAAATTCAACAACCACCGGTCCACTCAGTGATTTCATGAACACACCATCCTTTTGTCGATAAATATGATCGGTGAACTTGAATTGGACGGTGCATGCGTAAAATGAAAATAGATTTTTCATATACCCCAGATTCAGGCTTATCCCAACGCTACTTTGTACATAGGGGTATTCTATATTTTTACTGTTGAACAACAAGCTGATGTCCTTTGAGAGCCTTGCTCAACCGATCACGATTAAGTGACAAATGGTGTTCACACAATTGTTTAGAAATCGTGCATTGTGTTTTGCTGTTCAAATTCCAACGGGCTCCGGTAAAGAACCTAACCATTTTCCAGGTGAATGATATGATGCATTGTGCATATCCTGAATCGGTCTCAAGGGTACCCTCTTCTAATACCTTTAGAAACCCGCAAAGTCTCGGAACGGCCAGTCCCGTTTGGGTGAAGACGTTCAAAACTTATTGCATCAATGACTCCGTTTTACTTTACAATGTCGCAAGATCTTAGATAACGTTAGCCGTCTTAGTCTTTTCCGTTCATTGGATTAATTTTGACCTACCATATTTTCTATGTAATTGGTTCGATTTAGAAGCGTGATCCCAGCCCCAAATAATATGTGATGACAGTTTTCCCTTTCCAAGAACAATTTTTATACTCTACTACTGGTATATATGCGTGTGTTGTAATGATACATTAATATGATTATGATCCAATGAAAATGAGCTTGTTTAACACTCTGTGTCCGATTTGCATTGTGCTTTTTGGGGTTGTTTTGACAGTTATCTTATTAGAATTATTCATCACTCTTACCACTAGGTCGACCTGAGCAGGCAATCAATGTGCAGGTCAATTGTGTCGAATTCATCAACGACGAGTTGGCACTGGTCTCCTGGTACCCGGGTTCAGACAATTATGCTCCTATCATGGAGTATATTGTGGAATATTCAACACAACACGAAAGAGACACTTGGTATCCGGCCGAAATTTACAATTACACCGGCCTGATTCAAAGTACATCAATCAAGGTAACCGCACCAATAATGAAAGTTAACTAATGAATAAATGCTGATGAATTCTGTATTGTTTCACATGCTCAATTGATTTAGTGAAAATTTAGAACTATGAGTGTGTGAATGATCTAATCTCAGATTATGCGTTTGTTAAATCGATGACGAAACCAATATCCAGTTAGAGCAAAGTTATGAATAACACGTTCAATTTATTGATCAATTCACACAACGACTCGGTTTATTCTGGCAATAAGTTCTAATGTGGCCAACTGCTATTTGATTTAAACCATTTACGGGTCCAAAACCCTTGCGTTAATTGCTTGAACCCAGCAACCAGATTATCGCCAATCACAATACTGCTTCTAACCTGAGGTTAGAGCCAAATGTGTCAACTATTAGGATTTTTTTGGATGAGTTTACTTGCTCTATATTGTTTTAAGTCTTCAGTTCACTTGGTTCCGCATGCTATTTTAGAAAAGTCCAAAATCGCTGTCCTCGGTTTCCTTTGCAAATTGATGACTGGATAACCGACTGCGTAAGAAAAATATCTGGCATTATAGCCTTGAGAAAATGATGACATATTTTCATAATTTCTGTGTCTTAAACCTCGGAATCGTCAGAAGCAACGGCCGAATAAAAAATCAAACAAAAGTTTTGCATGCTCTACATCAGACAAGTATGAAAACACACTTTACCTTCAGGGTAACCATTGGTGATTGGTAAACTATACGAAAAATGGCATGCTATTCGCACGAAGTTAAACTTTTATGTCGTAAGTTACTGCCCTGTCTGCTCAGGGGGTGAAATAGACGAGCGGTAAAGTTTCTTCGGTAATTTGACTGGATCGATTCCAAACGACACAAAATTCCACGAGCTGTCTGAAATGGCAAGAAAAAGATGGCGTTGCGTTTCTGTCCCCCCCC